GGTCACTGACCGCGGGCACGCGACCGCGGCGGTCAATGACCTCGGTCGCGTGACTGCGGTGGAGTCACTGACCTCGGCCGCGCGACCGCGGCGGTGTTACTGACTTCGGTCACGTGATTACGGTATATGTGTGTGTGTGTGTATGTGTATTATATATAGATATAGAATATTATATATGATAAATATAATATTCTCGTTTTTACTCTTTTCCTTGTCACGTAACTTTAGTCATATGGTGTTTCTCTACTTCTCCTTGTTACGTGTTGTTTTTCCACTTTTCCCTTTTTTTAGTTTTTGAGTTTGATTTTCATGTGTTATTTCTGATATCTCTCATTTGTACTTCATGGGTATTATATGGTTTGTAAGACGTATATATTAGCTGTCATCATATTTTATCGCGGTGACATGTTGTGTCTACTGACGGAATATGTTAAAATAAAAATAATAGCGTGCGCGTAGCGCGCGTCTGTGACGTGCTAGTAGAATCTAAATTTTTCAATTGTGTTTATTTTGCGATAACTTAATAATGCATAATAATTTTCATTTCATGACAATTTTATACGATTAAGTTTCTTTAATTTGAATGTTCTGTGTCACGTGCTTTTACCTTCAATGAGAAATGTCCCGTTCTCGGAGGCGAGAATCAATCTGTTCTCCAACCAGACGTCCCCGCATACAACCTCGTGAGGGAAGTCGGGGTAGATGCATCTCGGTTCCCAGGGTCTGGGTTTCAGGGGACCGACGGTGGCGAGAGAAGTGGGTGCGAGGCCGCGCATGATGGCCTCTAACTTCAAAGCTTGTCCGACTCGCACCATCTCGACGGCGCGGGTTTCCTCACGCCGTCGACCTGGCGCCTCGACCACGTCCGAAAGCGCTCGACGGTTTAACATACTCTGTTAAATTATTTTTTGAACGAATTTTTAAACTCAATTATTCACAATCCTTTTGATATAATATATTGGCTATAGACGTTATTTCGCTTTTTGACGAAGTGATTTTTCAAAGAAAACTTTGCTTTTACTTAATATGATTTCATTTGTGTTAAGATGTCTCTCTTTTTGAAAAGAAAATATATAACATTAATTACAAAATATTAAGGATTAATCATAGCATCAATATGTTTTACTCCGATTCACTGATTATATATTAATATATTATTAACAAAAATAAATATATTCTCATGAACATGTTTAGTGTTTTACGTGAAAGAAGATCAGTTGTTTTTATTTGCAAAAAAAGTATGAGTAAAGTAAGTGACAGCTTTCGCAAAGTAGCTTACGTTGCTCTTGCTTTCTTGCGAATGTTCCTGGTACATATCTCGCAACAGGGCGTCTAGTGTTCTCTCCCTTTTCCTAGAGAACGTTGGGGTGTCGAAGGTGGCCTTCTCGCCGTTGATCAATTTAACGAGAAGAAATTCTCGAAGATTATACGGATCTTCGAAAACTGGTGGGCAAGGAAGGCTCGGTCCAAACAAAGGTACGTTTTCATCACAATAAATTGCAACTCGCCACCCTTTGCCGTCCGCCTCCGTCGTTACCACGGCAAACACGTCTAAGAAAGTGGATTGATATAAGAATGAGATAATCGATCTTCTTTCATATTACGTAACATTTTTTCCTATATATATATATATATTCTTTTCCCATATACATATGTATATAGAAAATATATTTTTTTATACTCATATATCATTTTCTATAAATTTTAGTGTACCATATTATTAAAATACTATTGTGTATAATTTTATACACATATCTATACATTATCTCATCTCTCTCTGCTTATGTTCTTAATTAATTCATTAGTAGCAAAAAAAAAAAAAAACAATAATTACGAGAAAAATATTTTTAATGGCCGTTTCTAGAATTATGTTTGGACTATAATTGGAAATTATTATTAGTAAAATAAATATATATATAACAAGGAGGATAGGTCAAATGGGTAATATATCGATTGAAGTTGGATAGTGAGAAAGTAGAAAAAATATGTGGGCGTAAAAGTAAAGAGAGAAGAATGAGAATCACTGCATACTATGTGATATTTCAGCGTTAGTAGTGTAGTTCCTGTGCTCTTTATGTGAATATATGTATAAATATGTAAATAACAATGAGCGAAGTTCGATTCATATATATTTGACGTGATCTTCTCTGACCTTATCGTGATATTTTTTTTCGAACCCTGTACGCGCTTTATCTCAATACAACAGTTAAAATCTCTTTCTCTTTAACTTACGAGTAAATTGGCTCCTTATGCAGTTCGGATTGAATGTATCCACGACCGATAGGTCGTCCGTGTAAATGATGTTGACAATGTCGTTGCCGATGTGTCGTTTTCTTTCCAGCTGTTGCGGATTATCCTTCGAGTACGGCAACATCGTGCTAACGTGATACATCACTTCGTGGCCTGCATAGACCGTGTAGTAACTTTCTTTCCCAGTCATGTCTCCTACAACAACGAAGCAACGTGCAAATAGAATTGCGAATAAAAGAAGAGAATCTTTTCTCGCGGGCAAAAAACTAAAATTAATTTCGTAAAGAAAAATAAAAAAAAAAAGAGGTAAATTTTACGTTGCCTCTTACTTTTTTCTTTAGAAGATTCTCAAATTTACAATATTTTAAATACTTTGTTGTTAAATGAATTTTAATAAAAGAATTGGCAATTTTTTAATTCCGTGTGTTTGCCGAAAACGAAGAAGCAATTCCGAATTCGCGTTTGATCACAAAGGTCGAGTTTGCGCTGTCAATATCCATATCGCCCAACATACCCTTCACATCCAAGCCACCCCTGTATTTGTCCCAACCTTTGAGCCGTATCCTTTCACCCAGAATCTCCAGGAATCTCTCAAAGCCCGGACTGCCCCGTTCTGCGAGCAATGAGAAACGCTCCTTAAGAATCGATAACGCTATCTATTATCATTTAATTTTCCATTCCTCCAACTCCGATAGTCAAACGACTATCGTTTATTCTCATCCGATCTCCCCTAATAATCTTACCGTTTGACAACATCTCGTCGTCGGTGGTCTGACCTTCTCTGGCGTAAATGACGCCGAACTTGAAATTAACCGATCCTTCTTGTTCCTCGAGCAGTAGCAGATCCTACACACAATACACGCAAAAAATCTCTAACAAAAGTATTTATCCGCGTCTTTTTCACAATGCCCAATTCTCGAGCACGTGACAACGGAGATGTTTGTTTGTACAATTACCTTTTGTAGTTCCGGCGTGAAAACTTCTCGCGGCGCTTTGTCGAGCTTCTCTAGACTGAAGAAGTTACTGAAAGATCAATACACACAGCAGTTGACTTGTGTTCCTACAAACCTATTCGCGTTTTTTTTTTTTTTTTTAATTTATAGACAGGGAGAGAGATAGAGAAAAAAAGAGAAAGAGAGACAATTACCTAAGAATTTGCCGTATAGTCATTGTCTTGTTCGCCGAATACGGCAACGATATTTTCTGCGCGCCCTGTACACAGAGTATTTCTTAATTTACTACAATATTCTTACTTTTTATTTGCACACGCGCGAGCTAATGTAATTTTATTCATGAAAGTATGAACTCTCTCTTGTGATACCAAACAAGTTATATTGAATCGATATTAAATCAATATTAAGTAAAATCGAGTATTTTTGTGTGGGGGCGCAAAGCAAATTGAAAATTATAACGTGAAATAAATGAGTATCAATTTGCTTTCATCCCGATGAAATTGTATTACTCTTTAGAGATAAGAAAAAAAAAAAGAGAAAATACTTTTCTCATAAGGATTGAAGCCCGAGCTTAACGCGATAGGTCTTCCCTCCGATTCTTCATCTCGCCGCGCGAGTGAGAAACATAAATCATTTCGTGAATTTGTCCCAAGAGAGAGAGATACCCGCGAAAATTTTCCCAAGCTTGAATTATATGCTAGCTACTCACGGTTCGCCTCCATAAAATAACTCTGTAGTGCGGCACGCATTGATCACCACCTTCGCTCGTGACTACCGAAAGGAAGAGAGGATTTCTCTCCTGATCGGAAGCGATATAGTTTTGATGCACTGTGTAAAGACAGGAGCAATTAGTATTTACACACTCTGTTCTGTGTTTGCTATATTTTAAACTTTTATTTTAACAGCCGATGGAAATGTCAACGACTTGTGTAAATATATACACTTGCTACGCGACATGGAACGTGTCAAATAGCTAAGGTGTACATATATGTGTATCCTCTTATATATATTATATATATTATATATATATATATATATATGTATATTATACAAGTAAACACATACAAACTTACGTTTGCCCAGGAAGTATTTAAAATACCAGCGCGTTTGATACTCTGGATTTTCTAGTATCGGCGTACTCGGCGAACCGAACATCTGTTGATACAAAAGTCGTTTGTCATGAAACATCATTCGCAGAAAAAGACAGAATGACAAATGGCAAATATAAGAGCAGAAGCAATTGTATTGCGCTTGTATTGCGCTTGTATTGCGCGAGACTTTGGAGTGAGACTTTGCGTTTCGAAATGTGTAAGAGAAGAAAAAATTCAAAGACGCGTTATTTATTCATTAAGCGTTTTCTTACCTCTTCTTTTTCTCCCGGAGAATCTCCGTTCTCCACTCGAAATCTTCGGCCATTGTCGACGCCATCCTGCTCGATCTGCGGCAGCTGGAAATTTGCGAGCGTCATGATTAACAAATACGTGAGTGTTGGCGCGAGTCAACACGCTCCAGTTTCCAGTTTGCAAATTTGTGCTTCTGAAAAACGTGCGCGACTGAAAACAGAGAGAAATGGAAAATCCAATCTAACCGGATTCTAAGTCGCGAAATCTTTTTCACGTAAATTATTTATATCTGCTACGCAATCTTCAATTTTGAAAAAATTAAATGTCTACTTTTTAAAAAAATTGAATTTAATAATTAATTGCACGTTGCAAACAGCTGAACCGAATTGTAAAATAGAAAGAAATTACATACGTAGTAATTTTTCTACAGTTTATTTTTCTACACGAGAATAAGGTAATTTTTTCAAGTACCGTTATATATTAATATTTACATTTACATAGTTGGTATGGAGTTCGAAAAAAGTTTTTATTTAATAAAATCCAACTTATTGAATATAAATGCGTAGTTCACTCGCGTTGTACAAGTCAAGACATGCGTCTTACATTTTCAGTGAAAAAAAAAGTCTTAAATAATCCGAGAAAAAATAAAAATCTATTTTTTTCAGAAAGTTATAACAATAATGTTTGTTATATAATGTATTATATAACACATATATACAGTTTATTGTAAAGAAGATACATATTATGTCTCGCACATATAGACACTTCGTAATCTATGTACGAAACAGTAACATATCGTACGTTACGATGAGTCAAGCGCAGTTTTGAGCACAGCTTTGCGCGAACTATCTGATAAGCAGCCCAATAGATAAATAGCAAGATAGAGGGAAACAATATAATCGGCTTGTGCCGGACGTGTTACGGCTTATCACATAGCCGCGCCTCGCTTTATCACGACGATATTAGCATTTACCGTGCATATAAGTACTGTACGAATATTTAAGACGCCTTGTACACAGGAAGTAGAGCGAGGTTCTTACCCTAGATCTCCGCGTCTTTTTATCATTTCCTTACCATTTCAACGCTGCCGTAGCATCGTCTTGACAAAACTCCTCGTCTCGCTATCGCGTCTGTCGTAGATCTGAAAATACAAAAGATTTTTTTTTTCACATTTAAGTCGTAACTCGAATCACGAGATGTTCTTACAAAGATTCATCTCTTCACCGGAATACACATACTTCGCGTTCTACATGTTTTATTTATTTAATTGTTTTTTTTTTTTTTCAACGCGTTTTTGCGTCACTCGCAACTATGTGCGGAAACGAGCAACCTCATCTAACGTAAACGCTTTGTAACTTTTTTCTGCATCTTGTGTACACACGTTCTTATCGAATCGTTTGCAATTATAGGAGAGGCGGCACGCCTCGTCCGCGCGGTCCGTCGCGGTGAACGGCATTCTTGGCCGAGAGAACACAGTAGTATTTTTTTGCTCCAAGTACCAATCTAATCGCGCCTTCTGTTGCTGTTGTGCTTACAACACGACCTTTTGCTTTTAAAAGCGAAACAAAAAATAACGTGTGTGTAGATAAAAAAAACAAAAAAAAAACAGAAAATGCGGTTTTAACTCTGTTTCACTCCGCGCAATTTCCGGCAACGCGCTCAAACTGTGATTTACGCAGTCACGGAGTGACCTTGTCTCTAACAACCTTGCTTTTACTTTTAATGATCATTTGTTAGGTTTAATGATTCTGTTAAATATATTATTATGTTTTACGTGTTTTTACATACATGTGTGTAAATATGTATTACATATATGTTACTATATCACATATATATTATATTTACGATATATTAAGTTTCTGAGAGAGATATAAAATTCTGTTTCTAGAGAGGGATAACAAAAGTCTGTTTTATTAAGCGTAAAGTCAAAAGACGCTCCTCTTTGTCTTTCTCAGAATTTGTCACTCCACATAGCTTAATTATTCAGAAAAAATGTTGCGTCAAAGAAAGGTCTCGAGGAACGTCCGTTCTTTTTTTAAAACAACTCTTCACTTGTTAAAGTCGATGAATGCAATCTTGTCGTTAAAACTTTGCGGAATAGCCCGACAAAAAACCTAAATTTAAATTAATTAATTCCGTGTACGAAAGTCCGGCGATGAAGTGTTATTGATATGAGAATTATCATCGAAAGAGAAGCTTCTTCCCCCCTTCCCTCCTCTAAACGTGCTCCGATCAAATATAATCACCGTCCGGCAAGCAAATCGTGTCATCCCCCCGTGCTGTGAACGTAGCGTAATGTGACGGCAACCCTCCATTCGACTCGATCCCTCTCGCGTTTCTCATTTTTCACGACATGGATATCTGGGTTAACGAGAAGTTACGTCGTGGTCGAATTGGCCGGATAATCCGAAGGGACCGTTACATGAAAAATGCAAAAAACTGTTGCTATCTAATGATTTATTCTTTGTTCCCGCGCAGTGAGTCCGCATCGATTCTCTCTCTTTATTCTTTGTTCCCGAGGACAATTGCACGTGATCATCTCTTTTTAAAGTCGAGAAGTGTGAACATTAATCGGGAATGAAAATCAATCTTCTCTCCTTTTGCGAGATCTAGCATTTACATCGATCGTGATTTTTGCGCGCTTTTGCCGTGGTTGTTTGTTTTTATTTAGCTAGTTTAATTAGTTACTTTTTAATACGTTGGATTTGGCGACGGAGTTTCTTTCATTTTTTGCATGGAACAAGTAGAGAGAGAGAGAGAGAGAGAGAGAGACCAAGTAACGAGTAACCGCACGAGTCGACCAATCAATTTGAACGGTAAATTAAAATTCCTCTACACATCTCTCAATTAAAACACGAGATTTAAAAAAATGAGTTCAATAACAAGTTACAGGCGCTCGTGTATCTTTTTTTTTTTTTTTTTTTTTTTTTTTTTATTACCTTTCAGAAATAAGAGACAATAAAAAGATAATCGATTACATAAGTGGGTGACTCGTTACTTGACTTTCGCAATTGGCTTCGCGTAACCTCTCGCCGCTTACGGAGCAACGTACACTTGATGACTGGCGCGTCGATGCAGCTGCCTGAGCTGCGTGGACGGAAGAATCGCCGCCACGCAGACCGATCTGGATCTGTTGCGACGGATCATCTCCTGCACGCTCGGACGCAGAAAGTCATCCTCGCTGTCGCTGGTTACTGTGATCGCGGTGGTGACTTCGCTCTCGCGTCTCGCTTTGCGAGACTTGGATTTATCCGCGCTGCTTCCAGTCGGCGACGGAATCGAGGCTGCTCTTTGCGGTGACGACGACGACGACGAAGTCCCGGAGGAGACGCCACGTAACCGCGACACGAGTTTGATGTCCAGGCACAGCATCGTCGCAATTTTCTTTTTGATTTGAATCCCCGTCTGTCTCTACAACGCGGTTTCTTGTCTATCCGCGCGATGTTGCGGATAGGGTTTCGCAATCGTGTGAAAATACGATTTTGTCACTGCGAGTAACGAACCTCGCTGGAGACAAATTGTTCTTCGCAATCCTTTCTCGACGGCATCGTTATTGCCCTGCCGATGATGAAAACAATCGGCGACGACAACGAGTCGAGCGTTAACACATCCGCGTTTTCACTGTGCCGCACGATCCGTGCAAGTCAAAGAGAAATCGGAAACTAAAGGGAAGTTATACGTACAGATGTTGCCGGATTATTCCATAAATCTCTTGAATTTGCAGCGAGGCAGCGAGCGCTCGTTGTTATCTTCGAATTCCGTTATATACGCGCGGCACCGCTAATGCGTCGTATCTGGCGGCACACCGCGCGATGGAGAAATACCAATTATAGAGAACGCCTCTCTTGCAGCGCAATTTGGGTATACTCTCTTGACCCCGGTCTCGGTTAGTCGAGTTGAATATCGGGCGATCGCTACCGATATATACCGAGGAAATAAAGCGTGTTGTTCGTTCATTTACGTACGTCGTTTTTTTTTTTTCAAATATTGCGCGATAACGTCGCTAAAGTACACTTCCACTTAACGTCTTACGATAAATAATAATGCGTCGCAATATGTGCGGTCTAAATGTCTGCGCGGTGTCATTATAGGAATAATTGTTACGGCGAATAATTGCGGATATACGTCGCGATACAGTTCGAGTCAAATAAACGTGATAAATGACAGACGGTGAAATAATGACTTCGAAAACAAAACATATACAATTCTTTTTTCTTAACTGCAAAATTTACATTGTGAGAAAAAAATGTGTGTTCGCGCAGTTGAATATTTTCCTCAATTATTAATTTTTTAATTGATAAGATGAGAGAGAGAAAGAAAGAGAGATGCATTTTTATCGCGGGGTGTATACGTGTCGGAGAAAAACACATTTTTCCTTTAAGAAACTTTAGCTGAAGAACGCGAAGACAGTCCCGCAACAAGACTATCGATTTCCAAGATAATGATATTCTTGCGACTTATTCTTGGCCTGGGAAATTCTTTGTTGTAAATGACGGACACACAAGAAAGAAAGGGAGAGAGAGAGAGAGAGAGAACTCGTCACGCGACTCTCTCACGGAGGAAGATAAATAACTTTCAATCTGATTACAATCCTGATTAAAACTCAGGTCGAAAGCAAAGGAAAGAATATCAATGAGAGCAGTATTCTTTAATAATTCTCGAACGTGCGAGGAATAACAAGTGATTGGCCGTGTGCACTTGCGCGCGCGCGCGTGTGTGCGTATGCGTGTTGCGCCAAAAAATCGATGTAATCAAACATCCGCGCCAAGAATATTAAAATGAAGAGATATCCGCGTCGAATGAATGACCGAATTGAGTTCACGGATGGACGGAGACTCGATACCGGTCGTTCATCTCTTTAAGTTACTCTATCGAACGGACGAAGACACCGGTGAGATGCAGGACGAGCCTTTGCCTCAGTGGAGCATCCAATATCTGAGAAGACCTCGTGATAAGTGATGCGTCAAAAGATACAGCCATGTGCATTCAGATTCTACCTTCTGTCCTATCTTCGACAAACATCGGTTATCGATCTTCTTTTATCAATCTCGCCCGACGAGTATCGCGGAGTAAAATGGCCCAACTGTTCGTGTGGCCCACATCTCACACAACATTTCTCTATCCCATCCAGATGATTCGCGGGGGGGGGGGGGGGGCTTTTGGATAATACCCCGAGTGGAAAAATGACTGCAACGAGTTCGTCGATTTTTCGCTATCTCGATCGCGAACGAGCAGCTTGCGACGAACTGTTGTCGAAGGACAAACAGATACCGTCGAACGGATACGGTGACATTCGATAACCAGACGTGAAATATACCATCGCATACACACACACACACACATACAGACACGTACAGAAAAAGAGAAAGAGAGAGAAAATTTATGTGGAGGTTGCACCGACATGAGAGTACTTATAATAGTTGCAACTATACATTCGGCCTGATTATACAAATATATATATATATATATATATATATATATATATATATATGTAAATGTATATTGTGGCGCGTAATATTTGCCGTGGAAAATATTGAAAATACCGATACGCTCTGTTTCCACTTTCTCATAGAATCGCAAATGTTTCTCAGAGATCCGCGAGGAAACAAGTTGTTTTTGAGATTATGCGTTGTTACAAGCAGGAAAATTGGAAGTGTTAAAGTGCGATTTTGTTAGATGGGTAAAAATTTTGTTTGCTGAAAACAATTTTTTTTTCTCGCATTAGAGATCTTGAGATTTCACAATCTACATAAATTGTAGAAATATGAGTGATAGAAGTGCTATTTGTTTTTGTTTTTTTTTTCTCTATGTAGATATTCAATTTTAACGGTATACCGAGTTCGACCAAAGCTCTTTTCTTCGTCGCGATATGAAAGGATCAAGCGAAGCGCCTCGCCAATCTTCAAACAAATCGGAAACTTACGAAAAACATACAGATGTCTCGACATTTCTTATATTACCATAGCTTTCCATTACCTTAACTTTCTTCTCTTATCAGAACATCTCTTATTCACTGGAATGTATAATGTAGGCCTGTCTCTTCGGAACACTCATCGTGATTTAGTAATTTAACTTTTCTTAAGAAAAGTGTATAGTTGTCGGACAGATTAAACTGGTCTCTACTGATTTCACATATAAAAA